ACTTGTTGTTCTGGCCTTAATATAGCTGTTTATGGTTAAATAACATGAAGATGGACTGTTTACTTAATATCAATGTTATAGCTGGAACTGGGCTTTGTTTAAAAATGATCAGCATTAAATGTGGAAAATACAAATGCACAGCACACCATTTTGAGTTTTAGAAGTACCATGTATAATCATCCCTTTAATCCTAGTTTGTACAGGTCTATTTAGTAAAGTCCCAAATAAAACCCAATGATTTCTGTGGGTACAGGGTGACAAAATGTAAAAAGGCACCCAGAGTATGAATCCTTTTCAAAGGCAGTCTCCATTTAGAGTGTGGTACCTTTATGAATGTGTCCTTGTTTTTCTTTGTCCATTGGTTTCGCTGATGAAGGGTGTGGCAGTACATGTACAGCAGAGCTCCACGTCTCCAGTAGAGGCACTCCAACATCTCTGTGCCCAACACACACTGCACCTATCAAAGACCAAAACCCATGAATAGCTCCGTGTTTCAGGGTGCAAAGGTACAAAATAATGTTACAGAGATTCTGAAAATCAATCAAAGAATGAAGCAGCCTTAAATCACAATGGAAATACGCTCTTATTAGATGATAGTGTCTTCACCTTTAGTGGGCTTTAAGGACCACCACTTACACATATAGACTGTGTCATTTCAGAATGCGTGAAGAAGACAGTAGAATAAGACACAACCAAAAAACTCTAAGAAAACCATGCTGACCTCCTGTCCAGGTGTCAGTCTGCCCACTAAAACTTCTGGCTCAGTCAAGTCTTGCAGCAGCTGCTGGATCTTAACCGGCGAGGAGTCCTCAGGGAATTCCTGATCTACCAGTTGATTCTCTTCATAAAAAGTGATGTCAAGTATCGCCTGCATAGAAAAAACAAAAATCTCTATTAGAAATAAATGTTCTAATTCTACAACAAAAGCTCAATTAACTTAAAAGCCTTGAGAAGCTAATAGATAAACAACTGTAAGTAGCTTGAGACAGACGCCCTTACTAAACCAGATTTATACATATCTGAATTGATTTTAATTTTCTCTGTGAGGCTAATAGTTTCTTTTATTAAAATCGGCACAATGACTTCTTCCTGTTTATCTAGAAAAAGTCAGTAAAATCTGTGTTTTTTGATGTGAATGTGCCTTTGATGTAGATTCTGCAAAAAAACAAACAAGGATTTAGACTGAAGTAAAATGGATTTTTGTATCAAAAACATGGCTTTTCTCTTTAAATCCCTTTATAATCATGCTCAAATTTTTCTTCAACTGTTTTTGTAGATTAGTTGCAAAACATAACACGCTTTGCACCATCTAAGCCTAACAAGGGGTGGCTGCAGCAAAAATGTCCTTTTCCCAACAGAAATACTTTCAACTTCATCCACTTAATGCTGTTTTGTTTATATTCAAAATATTTGTGGGTGCTAAGTGTGGGCAAGTATGAATCTATGGGGGACTTATAACTCGGACCTAGACTCAAATAAACTAGACCCCTACAGGACCTTTACCCAGTAAATAGCATCTCTGCACTGATGCAACGTTTATCTGGGGGAAACCCCCAGCAATGTCTACATACATTTATACAAGTAAGAGTTGATTTAAAAAAAAAAGAAATCTTTAAGATAGCAGTTGCTCGAATTACACAGATAATTTGAAAATGAAACACAAAATCACAAAATCAAGGATTGTCCATCTCCTCCCGGAAGGTTCCTAAAATTATTCTGAAGTTGAGCAATTTCTCTAATCAAATACGTGTTATTTGTTGTGTTACAAATCTTTTTATTATTGTTATTGCAGAACCCAAACCTTGTTATTACAATGGACTACCATCAATTATTGGTGCCAAAGAGAGTTTAACTTAATCGACTCTCACTGAAAAATGTCTTGCCATTTGGCAAGTGTGAGAAAACGTACTATGGATAGATGGTTAGGGTCAGATATAATTTGATCATTTCACTGTTTGTCAAATGTTTTACATTTATCCCTTGAAATGCATGCTCATGATTACAGGGCCAACAAAAACACATACAGGATATATAGTATGGGTGTATGTGATACCAAATGGTAATTTAGAGAGAGAACAAGTAATCAAGAAGCAGCTGGAGCACCCTATAATAACTCAATTATGCATGAGGAGGAAATCCTAAAAACCCACAGAGAAAAATTCTGGCTAAACCTGAAACCTGGGATAAAGAGCTAACAAATCTGTAATTGATCAAGTTTAAGCTTCACAACAATTTATTAGTAGCATTTAGTGAGTAATGGGTTAGTGAGTGAAAAAACAAAAACCTGTGTGTAATCCTGCAGGAGCTTGGAAATGTTAAAGCTTTCTCCTCCTTCTCTGTAGAAGCCTTTTAATTTCTCTAGCACAGCAGATGCATTCTGCAAATAGTCATCATCTATGGAAAGAAAGAAGATCAAATTACATTAACATTTACAGAATAGACATAACATTAAGAATGGGTCTTGACACCCAGCACTCTTCAAAAGGGGTGTTTTTTTAGCATTGGCAGCATAGTAACTAGATTTAAGGATATATGTTTTGCAAGCACCTTTTATCTACCGTGATCGTGCTTGTTTGGTTTTATTATTAGGACATGTGAACAGCTATACGCAATTCACATACACACCCCAATTTAAAGTCATTAGTATAAAAAACTAAAACCTTAAGTCAAGATTTAATGTTTGTCATTAACCAAAATAACAGTAAATACGAAAAACACCACGACTTAAACAGTAATATCTATTATAAAGTTGGTGCTACGCGGGTTAGTTCAAAATAACAATAAATAAGTTGTCAAACAGCAGTTTAAGACAACAGTTGTTGCTATGGCTGCAAGCTAACGTTCGTTGGTTAGCTTCTTGGCTAAACAACACAGGAAAATTGTTCCTCTTCTATAAATAAACTATTTAGGACAGTTACAACTCATAAATAATAGAACAAGATGCCTAATAGAGACCTTGCTTTTCAGCTCGGAGACATGAACATTTGTTGTCCAGCTCAAATATTCTCCTTTCCAACTCAAAATCTTGTCGCCTGTAGTCGTCTGCCATGACTACGTGAAGTGTGCGTCACGTGAGCAGGCGGTTACGGCAGAACGTAAACCGCTTTGGGTACTGTCACCACGACGCCATCGAAACGTCGACGTTTTTGGTCTCACGTCAGTGAGTACGCCATATTGTGAGTGGTAAGTGGTATTCAAATCTATTGCCATAAGGGGACAAAATGTCAGGTTTAACACCCTGAGGGGGCAGGAGCTTTGAAATATAGCATATTAAAACTGCGCAAAGGGTTTTGTTTTTAAAAAGATTTTCTAACTCAACAATGAGCTTTTAAAAAATAAATTTAAATGTGAAATGCACAGTAGTCCAACTGCTTTTGAAAAGAGATCTGTAACTCACCTTAAATTTAAATATTAAAGTAGGTCTCCCTTGTTAAAAAAAGAGTAAATGATATAAATTTCTTTTTAATTTTTGGTGTATTTTTTCCAGCAAGTACATGGTATATTCATTTTTTAAATTAATTTTGACATCTCTAAAAAATGGCCCTTCCAAGTCTTTTCTTTGCTATATGTTACTGGCTTTCTGTTTTTTCTTCTTGCAATTAAATGAAATTACAAGTTAAAAACATAACGGATAAAATAATATGTTGCAAGTTACGTTATTCATTTTAAGAACATTTTAATTTTTTGTGTCATTTCTGAAAGGAAAATTTAAATTTTTTATATTTTTCTTTGAAATGTCAATCTGCTTTAAAGGCAAAATCAATTGTATCCATTCTTGAATCCTTCCTCAGCAGACCTCAAATTCTTTTCTTGTGCATGAACATTTGCCAAAATAGACAAAAGCAGGCAGATATCATCATTGCTAGGGAGAAAAAACTTTGGATTGCCACACAATCAGATGGACTTCTAAAGATGAAGCTTGGGATGTAAATATGTTAATTGTTTCTTACAGGTTTGGGTAGATTTTGTTTCACTCATCTCCCAGTTAATGCTCTTCAACAGTTGTTCTTGTCATTTTAAAATTCTCAACAAAAATGCAATATTATTTGTTTGCAATACCCAAATTTGACTCCACTTTATTTAGTTCAACTATTAGTATAAAAAAAATTAAAGACTTCCATTTGTCTCTAATAAGACAAATGAAATAAAAATAAAGGCTAAATAAGCATTTAAGGTAAGTGAAATTTAATTTATGTACAGATATTAAAGGAATCCGATAAAATAAATACAATATGTTAGGAAAGATTGTACACAGAAAAAGACAGCCATCTATATAAACAATAAAACGAAGTAAGTGCATGAAGTGGGAGAATGCAATTCTGAATAGTGATTGAATATTATAGGAAAAATGGGTCTGATGCAAGTTTTTTATTTTATTTTATATGAAAATTCTTATGTTTGTCAACTCTGTGGAAATTAAATAGGCATTGTTTGTCCCTTAACGGATATTATGAATTTATTTTTGCCTCTTCTTGTGTGCGTGAAATGATTTTGTAAATATTTAAATCGAAACTGAATTAAATTAGACTTCTTATTTAGTTTCTTAATATGGGAACTGCAGAGAAAGTTTGGACTCATTGAAGTTTGGAAAAGGCTTTTAAATTAACTTCTGTGAAACAATCTTTGATTATGTTTTCTCTTTTTAATTGCATTCACTTGGATCATGAATGCAATCACACACAACCACACAACTGCTAATGGAAACTCTTGTATTTCCACAACAGTGCCACACACAACATGGTGGCAGCATTGAGTACAACCATAAAGGGTTTGTTCTTCTAATTTTTTACTTTTAGTGTGCATAAGCGGCGAATCCAAAACAAAGTTAATAAACACATGTTTACTATGGCATATATTATTCAAACTGTCTAATGAAACTAGGTTTAAGGTAAATTACTGTCGGGTTTATTATTTGCAAAGCAGCAGCAGACCGGTGGTGTGAGGGTTAACATTAAATGAAAGGGTCATGCCTTTAAAACGCCCCCTTTGTGAGTTGCGTTCAGGGACGCAGACTCATGTCGTCGGGCTTTTAGTCACATTCAGCGTCCTTATAGCGCTCCACATCTCTGACCCTGTGTGTAAAACCTAAAGATGGCGACACTAAAAGCATTTTGCAGAGCAGAAAGTATCCTCTTCAGAAACCTCGGAGGTGACCGCAGAGCCAGATTAAACTGGGCCGGCCTCCAGCTCAATAAGGTCTGTAAATGAACTCTGACCTTAATGTATAGCGCAAGTAAAAGTTGTCATGGATTATCTTTCTATGTCGTGCAGGAGTCTTCGAGATAACATCCGTCGTATTTTGTCCCTGCACGGAAGTTCTCGCAGATTGTTATCGATGTTTTTATCTGCAGTTTAACCTTGCGTGGATTATCTGTGCTTCTCGTTTTCTTAGCTACTGTATAAACTAGATAACATGCAAAGTGGTAAACGACACATTTTGCAGTCGAGTTTCTGAAAACGCAAGCTGATTAGCTGATTTTTAAATATTATTTCGGTTTAATATGGGAAAAAAATTCCGATTTCAATCTCAGGATTCTAAGTTTAATCTCAGAATTCTGAGAGAGAGAAAGAGAGATTCTGACTTTGATCTCAGAATTCTGAGAGTTTAATCTCAGTATTATGAGTTTGATCTCAGAATTCTGATTTTAATCTCAGAATTCTGAGAGAGAGAGAGAGAGAGAGAGATTCTGAGTTTAATTTCTGTTTGATCCCAGAATGTGACTTTTGCAGAATTCTGACTTTGATCTCAGAATTTTGGATCTTAATGTAGCTGGGCACCATGAAGGAAGAGATGTGGGAGCACCGAGCTTCACTGATAAACATGCGAGTTGTTTGAGAGGGCCAGTTACACATTGGTGAAAAAATGATGGAATATGGCGACTTTTTACGTGCCACAGAGATCCCTGGTGATGCTTTTTCATTAATGGAAGAGCAGACAGTGATTAAAACAAGAGAGCTAGTTTAGCCTGTATGAAATCAGAACTTTGAGGGGAAAAAAAGTCAGAATTCTGAGATTAAAGTCAGAATTTTTCTGACATTATACTGAAATAATATTTAAAAATCAGTTAACTTTTAAAAATTTTTTCAGAGACCCTAATCCTCTTCCGTATATCCCAGCCAGCTGGGGCTCTGTTTACTATGTTGATGTGGTATCTAAAAGTTATGAGCTCCTGATTACATTTTTGTTTAATTTTTTTTTTTTTACCTGGGGATGTTTGGTTGTGTAAAATGAAAACCTAAAAAAGGTGTGCAGATAAAAAAAAGAATCAAAATAAAACGAACCAGCTACATAGATTATAAATTAGAAAAAATATTTTGATCCAGTAATTCAATTTAAAATGTAACATTCACAAAGGTTCAGTGAGCACAGGGATTGTTTAAAAAGCATAATTCTGCCTGCATGCATATCATATTGGGGGGCAGGCATTGGCTTCTTTCCATTGTTTTTTTTTTTTTTTTCATCTACATCTCAGTAATATGTCATGTATTCCAAATAGGTCTAAGGTCAGTTTAGTTTCCCCAACCAGTCAGGCACAGTGATACTGTCATTATAACTCAGCTGTTCATGCCTTTGTCTGTGCCAAATCCTGCTTGTGGGGGGGGCAAAACAAGCAAAAAAACCCCCACAAAGTCTGTCAACAAAAGATGAGCATTATGTGTTTTAAATAACCAGGGGCAGCATGGCTACAATGCATTTACAGTTGATCAAACTTAGTGGACTAACACCTAAAGATGACAAGTTACATTCATGGAAGAAACTTTACACTTTACCTATAGAGTAGTTGGACTCTGTGTCTCTCCACCCTTCCCTTAAGTTCAAACTGTACTTTAGGGTAGTGGCCATTGTGTAGTTTCTTCTCTGCTCAGTGTCGGTAATATGCTTCTGACGTTATCAGAGGCTTAACTAACTATAACTATATATTCTGGGTAGTCTTGGCCTAGTGAATTAGAGCAATGTGCATGTCTTATGAGAAAGTTGCAAGTACCTGGTTTGATCCCCATAGCTTCCACTCTGGGTTCCTGAGCAAAATCCTTAAGCCCACACTGCTCCCCGGGCGCCACACAATGGCAGCCCACTGCTCCCCACGGGGATGGGTTAAATGGAGAGAGTGAATTTCCCCATTGTGGGACAATAAAGGGAGTGACATTACATTATTTTTCCTTGCAGTGACTGCAGAAGCATTGACTGATTGCACACACTTGAACAGAATTTTCTTGGCAATACCTTCAACTCCCTAATAATCCCTGATTTCTTCCACGTTTATCCTTCCACTGAACTTCTCATCTATATGCTTGGAGGTTGTGCTCATTTGTAGTAACGTCTCTCTGTTATGGTAGTTACTGGCTGTCTACTGGACGGCCATCAAATTGTATAGATGATGCTTTAGGTCTAATAAGGTTGTTTCATTTTGCACCATATTTTTAACACAATGTGCTGCTCTTCTATCTTGTTTATGTACTTAAAACAAAAATCCCTTTCTCTTTTTTGCAGACTTGTGGTTGCTACTTCTCCACCTCCAGCCTGAGAGGGTCACAGTTTTACTCAGATCCAACAGAGGCAGTAAAGGATATTCCAGATGGATCCACTGTTCTGGTTGGAGGTAATATTTAGCATAACAGAAAATGAAGAAAAAAAAAAAGAGATGTCTACACTTATTAAAGGGCTTCACTTGCACACAATATTTGCCAATATGTATTGTACTAAAATAAGAAAGCGAAACTGAAAGTATATATGCAATTGCAACTTTAAAGTGTTGTTAGCTTTAGAATGCTGGCTTAATGATATCCAAACACTGAGCATGAACAGATTCCTTAGCTCTTATTTATAGTCAAGCTCAGTGACATTGTTGAACATTTTCCACTGTGTCACACTTCTGGCTAAAGGATTTCCAATCTAGAGCAGTGATATAAACGGCAGTATGACGAAACATAATTTCTACATTGAGTTTGCATACCCTCATAAGACTCATAAATTTCATCCTTTTTTTTGTCCTTTTAGAAGACTGTATAATTTGAACCATGTTGCGATTGTGTATACCTGAGCTCTCTTCTTGCCAGGATTAAATTGAATTAATTTTATTTCCTTTGTTTCTTCACATGGATGTGGATTTTTGGTTAATTATTTTGGAGTTTTGGGCAGACACAGATTTAACTGGTTAAGGATAGATAAACACTCTGAAATGGCCCAATTCTGATCAAGAAGATTAGTAAGATATCCATCCAATACACTGCTATGATGTAAATAAAAAGTCACACGGCTTACAACCCAAATATCAGTGCAGCGTGCATGAAAACATTTGAGCTGATATGTATACATTTTAAACTTCTGCTGATTAAAAAAATCAACCATTAATTCAAACCTCTTGGTTTTCTTCTAAAATCTTCACCTTAAAGCAATAGTTTTGGTAAAGATGTTTTTTAAACCCCCATACGACCAGTACATCCATGCTCATGATTATCTGACATGGGTTTATGTAAAGGAGTTAGCTTTTCAATGCCGTCATTAAGGGTACTTGGACTTTGGGTTTCTGCGTGTGATTTGTAATTGTCCAAGAGACCAGCATAATTTGTTTATTTGCCCTACAAATTTGACATGTTCCAGATATTCTAGGTGAAAGTTCAACTAGATCACCATACTTCACCTTTCACACAGTTATCTGCTGCTGTTGTTGCTGGTTTGTTGCTCTTCTTTTATGTGTAATGTAATAATGAAATCTCTGGTGTTTTTCAACCTAGGCTTTGGGTTATGCGGTATACCGGAAAATCTGATCAACAGTTTGCTGAAGACTGGCGTAAAGGGCCTTACTGCAGTCAGTAACAATGCAGGGTGCGTGTCTGTGTACCCTCTGGATGTGAATATATGAAGTCTGGTAGTTATATATTCAGATATGTTAAACAGAAGAAGAAAATATGTTTTGTAAAGTCTTGGGTTTGTATTTTCTTATAATATAGGGGGGAAAATGCCACACAAGTATTAGGAATTACATAATAGGAATAATAATCTAATACCGTATTTTCCTTGCTATAAGCCACTGATTTTTTCAAACGCTTTGAATCATTATAACCATTATACCATTATAAGAAGATCCGGCTCTTCTGTGGATTTTTGCTAACCCCTAGAGGGGGAAGTCAAAATTGGAAATTAAATAATAAGGGGCTAATTTTCATTTAGCAAAAGAACATGCTAACTGCAGGTATGGTGGAGAACAAATCTCCCAAATTCACACATTTTGACATTTATCTGCCGTGTTAAAGCTGCTGAACCATTGAAGAGATGGCTCAACTCCTGCAAAGGTGAAATAAAGAACCTAAGAAGCCCCATCTTTCAGTAGAAGCTCTTACTGCTGCGAGCTAAGTATCTTACGGCGTCTAGCGTTCTTCTTTGTCCCTACTCCAGGGTCTATATGTAGAGCTCCCCCTACAGGTTTGGAGGGAGACAGTTCAGTAGATATCAGTGGCTTAAACATGTACATTTCCAGATTTTTCAAAAAATTTTGTGGCCGCAGCTTATAGTCCAGAGAATACAGTAAATTTTTTTCTGACTTTGTAGACCTTTTCAGTGCTTTCTAAAGTGATTTAACACAGAAGTTTTTCCTTTAAAATTATAGAATTTTAAACTGTATAATAGTCCTGCACTGGACAGATTTTGCAGTCCGGCGCCCGCCCGCTTCCGCAAAGAATTATGATTTTTAGTCCCGCCCCCGACTGCACATGTACCAGTTTGTCCCGCTTCCGCCCGCAATTCCCGCATGATTTCGATGTTCGCCTACTGCTCAAGGCAATTCGTGCAATTAGTTTGAGGAATTAAACACGCTGTGCTTAGCTGAGCACATTACTGGCCGATCTTCACCGCATAGTACATGACGCTCGTTAGGTGGCACGAGCTGCTGCTTCACAGCACTACCCAACTAACCTACCAAAATCTACTGAGGATATTAAGAATAATATATTATATTAAGAATAATATATCGTGCATAATCTTATATGCCACTCATCATCACGTTCACGTATGAAATAAAAATATAATAAGTTATAATTAATAATTTTAAACACCGTATGATGGAGCCCCACCCTACACATTGTGATGTGTATACCGTCATTTTCGGACTATAAGCTGCACCTGAATATAAGCTGCAGAAGCTAAATTGCATGATCTACATATACAAGCCGCACCGGACTATAAGCCGCAGGTTTTTTATGTTTAATTACCATATGGTTCGTGCACAGAGAGGATTGTCGGGAAAGAGGCAACTGATTGGGGAAGCTCCTATTTATTAACATTTCAACACAGTTGAATTGAGACAATTCTTCCTGCTGGCGTTTCCAACTTCTCAACATTGACTAGTTGATTCCAAGGTTACATGCAGCGGTTCGATTTCCTTCGTTTACTGGCAAATTGACTGCCTTTAACTTAAAACCTGCATCATATGCATTTCAACGTTTGTTTTCCATAATGAGGATGTCACACAAACTGTCCTGCGCTCGCAATGTCCGTCTTTCTCAGAGTTTGCTTCCGGAGGATGTCCTTATTCCCGCGCGCGCAGCTACTTGTGTGTTGAAGCAAATGTGACGTCAACATGGTGGATGGTAAAATCCATAGATTTAGGTACCGTATTACCCTAGTGGCCGTTAGCTGTAAAAGTCCATAGATAAGCCGCATTGTTATATAAGCCGCAAGGTCGAAAACTGGTCGAAATATGGGGAAAAAGTCGCGGCCTATAGTCCGAAAATTACGGTATATATGATAGACATAGACTGATAATTTATGAATTTATTTTACATTTTAAAACGCGTTTTTAGTTCGCGGGACTGCCGCTTATCACCACCCGCACTGTGTGCTCTCCCTCCCGCCCGCACCCGCAATGAGCTTTCAATATTTGTCCCGCAGGACTCCCGCTTGAGTGTAGGGCTCTACTGTATAACCTCTGCCACCTTTTGTTGTCTAATGTTTTGGTAAGGGATTGTTTATTCATATTGTTGTTGTCATTATTATGATTATTATATTTCTTCAGGATACGGATTTTATTATAGGAAAGAAAATAAAAGTATTAGATTTCATAATAATCGTGTTGAAGGATACATTGAGATTACAACATATCTATACATGCTTACCAAAAAATGTAAAAGGAAAATTAAATCTATTCCAAGTCATTTTTTATGTTGTTTTTGTTTATTTCTTATTGTTACTAGAGTGGATAACTTTGGCCTGGGCCTATTGCTGCAAACCAAGCAGATCAAAAGGATGATTTCCTCATACGTTGGAGAGAATGCCGAGTTTGAGAGGCAGTATTTGTCCGGAGAGCTGGAAGTGGAGCTTACGCCACAGGTTGCGTTGAAAATATAATAATAAAACACATGCCTTATCAAGTAAACAATAAAGGTTAATGACCATTTGAAATGAAATAACAAAATGTTCTTGTTGTTTCAAACAATTCTTTGGAATCTGAAATCTTCTTTTTCAAAATAATTTAATTGCTCGCTTCTTTTCCAAAGGGGACTCTTGCAGAGAGAATCAGGGCAGGAGGTGCTGGTGTTCCAGCCTTCTTCACACCCACCGGTTATGGTACTCTGATCCAAGAGGGAGGCTCTCCTATTAAGTACAACAAAGATGGCAGCATTGCAATCGCTAGCGAAGCGAGAGAGGTAAGACTCTAATGTGCTTCTTCTGCTTTTGCTTGTGTCTCATGTTGCATTCAAGATTAAATTTCTTATAAAATGCTTGGAGGGGGGATGCTTTTTCAATTGAATGAGGATTTCTAGTGAGTGAAAAAAACTCCCTCCACTCTTAACACTTCTTCCTGGGTTCCACTGACTGCGGAAGAGCAGTGTATCCTATTCCACTCTTTCAGAGGGGAGCGCCTCTCTGCATTTGGACACAGATCACTCGATGATTGCGCCATTGCATGATTGAACTGATTGTAGACTTTAAATAAAACAATAAACCAGTGAAGTGATTATTTTGCCAATGCCTCGTATGTCTGCTCTTTATCTTATCACCTTACCTTGGTTTTGTTATGTTTGGTTCTGTCACCCGTAAGTGAGTTCAAACAGAAAGTATGATTGATAAATTATTGGATTTCTGAATCAGGGATATCCTTTCCTACCTGTGCCAATCAGAACATGCCTCTCTGATTGGGGCAATATATAAAACCAAAAAAGCAAAAATAAAATGTCCCATGGAGCATTGTGCAGTGCTCTGAACATTTGCCTTAATGTGCATGAGCTGTGTGCATATTGGATAGCATGGCTGTTACAAACCGGTGGGTTTTATTGTTCTGGAAGCCTAGACTTATAAATAATTTGGGCCGCCACATATTTTTCTTCATGTTAGATTATTTATTTACACTCTTTGATATGCTAAATAAGGACTTGCTGTAAGGCAACAGTGCTACAAACTGCATCATGCAGCTTTTGTACATTTGTTAATTTCATAAATGTTCTTTTTATTTTCCTCTGTATCTAGTTTAAATTAGCAAACTTTTGTCTCCACAGTTTTAACAATAAAAAAGTGTTAATAAATTGCACAATAAATCACAACATAAGTTATTGTGATATTACAATGTTATGTTTTACAATGGTGTGGGCTTTAGTTTACTGGACTATATGATAGTCTGAATTTTTATCCTTTTTATTTGTGGTTGTGTTTGTCTACAGGTGCGGGAGTTCAATGGCAGACACTATATTATGGAAAAGGCTATCACTGGGGATTTTGCCCTGATCAAGGCATGGAAAGCTGACAAGGCAGGGAACATTGTTTTTAGGTAAATATAAAACTAATTGAAAGGAAAACAAAATACTTGAATAAGTCTGCTTTTCTTGTCATTAGTTTGAGCTTAGTGTGATTGTACATTTCGTATGTTCAAGCTGTATTTTCATTGGAAAAATGGAACTAGGGAAATAGAAACCATCATTAACCTATCCTTTTTGCACCCACATCAGCTTAGTTTTTGCTTATTTATTCAGACTAGTATATATAGTAATATTGGTAGTGTCAGGACCCACATTTGGTAATGCTAATGTATTGCAGTCATGCAGGCTGTCAGCCATTTATCAGCCCTGTTTTGCAGTGTTTACAAACTGGTTTGTACACATTCGTTATTGGTATTTAGTAGTTTTAGCCCTCGTACATGTTGCTTTACTGTTTTCTCGTACCTTGTTGTAAAAGTGTCCATCAAGTTTCTGTTTTGAGTCTAATATGCTTACGTACTGTAGTTTCTTTATTTTTAGTTAAGAAATATGCTGGGGCTTCTATTCTAAGAAAGCTATTTATTAAGTATTAAGTATATTAAGTATTTTACTATGCATTTTTATAAAAATATGTTGTCAGGAATTAAGAAATACTATTTATGAAGTCCCTTATGTGCCTCCTAGAATGACCGTTGTCTTAAAGTATTTCACTGGCTTTGGTAGATCCCTCACTCAGAATAAAATAAATAATTTTAGCTTTTTTTCACTTGAGTGCACTAATCAGTTTCTAGTATTTTTTTTTTGTTCCCCTAGAGGGCAGTCTTCTCATGTTCTTTTCCAGCTGAATCTAAATGTCGGATAGCATACAAATCTACAAGGCATTAAAAAAAGTAATAATAATATGCCTTGCTTTTGTTCTTGCAGGAAGACAGCCAGAAACTTCAACCAACCCATGTGCAAGGCAGCCAAAACCACCATTGTTGAGGTATGTTGAGTTTTTCACTAAATCAAGTAGATTTATGGGTAAGAGGAATTGTGTGTGTGTGTGTGTGTGTGTGTGTGTGTGTGTGTGTGTGTGTGTGTATCTATAACAAAAAACAAACACTTCTTCTAAAGCTAGCTGGGACTCTTGTGGTGTTTTGCTCTGTAAAATTACTGCAGCGTCTTGCTAAATCAATATTGCTCAAGTTCAACCCAATGTATTATTGCTTTTCCTATTAAAGGTAATTCATATGTATGAAGGGAATTTAAGTGATGCAAAATTTTACAAGATTTTCCAAATGCTGAATCTTAAGTGTGCCATGCTTAACCCTTATAAAGATATCATATTTATTTGTATGACTTAACCTTGTCTCCAATATTTTAATATATTAACAAAATATTAGTAAAATTAAGTTGCTGTATTAGAACATTACCAGAAAGAATGGCTTAAACCATGTTGGAGAGATTGGGATTTGTTATTTTAAGTTTTGTAAATCAATGTGGCTTGAAGACTTTTTTATTTAAGCAAGCCTATTCTGCCTCCACATGATTTTTATGTTGTTGATTTTTATCTTTGATTTTATTTGCACTGTGTAGCACTTTGAGATTTTTGTTAATGACCACATGATTTTTATGGCTGATTTTTATCTTTGATTTTATTTGCACTGTGTAGCACTTTGAGATTTTTCTTAATGAAAAGTGCGGTACAAATTGGATTTATTATTATTATTATTATTAAAGTGGTGTATTTGATCTCTTCACCTGATAACATGAAGGTTTGTAGAAGAAAAGAAGGTTCTTTAATGCTCAAATAAACATCTAGAAGGGCTATAAAAAAGGGCTCTTTAAAGGCGAAAATGAGTGTTTTAAAGCTCAGAAACTAAAGGCATTATATATATACATGACATAATAAGTACAAGTGAACTGAAATTATTATACTAACATTTGGATTATTCATGGATTTGGATTATTCTTGATGTTCATTTTTTCAGTTTCTCTAAAGAAAAAAAGACAGACATGGATATGTTATCTTAGTTGTGAGAATTAGTTTGGGGTTGTTATGGGTGGACTGTGGTCCAGAAGGTAACAGTTTATCTTCCAACCCATCCATCTCCGTCGTGGTGTCCTTGGGCAAGACAATTCACCCATCTGGCCTGCTGTCGGTGGTCAGATGGCGTCGGGGCTGATGCTGATGTGTGGCAGCCTCACTAGTGTCAGTGAAAATCAGTCATTTTGGCCGGCAACGTTCTGGACAATAAAATGCAAGATTAGTTATGTCATTGACTTAAATGGGTATAGTGAAATATACTACTAACCCATTAAGAAAATGTAGACGTAATATTGCAGTCTAAAAGATGCAATTTTTATCAAAGCCTACATTATATGGTATGATTATTTTTAGTCTGAGATTATTTAGAGAACAGAACTGTAAATTGAATTTAAAAAGGACTTTTACTACTCAAATTATAACGTATAAAAAATCAAAACATTTCACAAAGGGAGTGTCATACAAACTATTTACAATGTAAGAGAATGGATGTAATACATTTTTTGAAGTCCACAAACACAACCTATTTACAGCTACTGCACACCACCTTTTCACATTTGCGACAAACTATAGGCTGAGCGGATGAGGTGATTCCCCCTCAACTGGGTGTACTGTTACTGTATACATATGAGTTAATTATTTTACTGATCTCTACTCTTTGATTAATAAGGTCAGTATATAATACTTTTTCATTATACAATCTTATGGAAACCTCGAACAGAAGTTTCCCTATCATCTGTAGGGTAATTTCTTTTAGGTGGAGCTGGGTGATCATCTTCAGATTTTGGTTACAATGCATCAAAATGCAACTAAAGCTATCAAAACGACATTTGTGGGAGACAAATTAAAATATTTTAAAATATTATTTTAGTACAAAACAGCGTAAAAACAAGGACCTGCAGAAATAGGGAAACTGGCATAACAAGACCAACATTCAAATAATGTCATTAAAGTTATTTCACTCCAAAATTTGAAATGCATCAAGTTCTAGAAAGGCAAACTTAGGAGAATTAATCTGCATCCTACAAGTATAAAAAATAAGTGAAAATACAATAAAGAGGAACAAGTTGAAGCAGAACCATGATCACATAGTTGGTTAGCAGACAGACTTCCTGTGGTGCAAACAGCCAGTCTGGAAATAGACTTTTAAGATTTCACAAAGCAAGTTTTGGAAAAGAGGAAACACATTATAAAGTGTTGAATACAGTATATGACAAAGCCCACCATTTGATCATCACAGGCTATGAGCGTTTCCACAGCATTGTTCTCCTGTTTAATCAGATACAACAAGTCTGAATCCAAGTTCACAGCAGTGTGGTAGTTATGAATCTGAAACAGGAGAGTTATAATTTGATTTTGGATATCCAGCTATCGGTGCAGGTTCATGAATGTATGGTTAAATACCTATTAATCCCAGAACCTTTCAACATTTCTTTGTATTCAAAACCGGCTTCTTCTTTCATTGCTACCAATAAACCACCAGAAAGTAACAGAAGAAAGTGGCATTTATTGCCAAGAATTCTAAAAACAAGTTATTAAGGTTTAAGGTCAGAAAAACATTCCCTTGTATATTACTTCAAATATTTTCGCATAATGAAATTCCAGCTATATAAACATTGGAAAATTTGATTTCATAGGACCTTTAAAGTGCCCAGCTAAGAATTATTACAGCTTGAGAGCAACATAATAACGTATAATTTATATTTCACCGAGCTCTTACATTAAGTATTATTAATAGATAAAAAGGACGCGTTACTCTGTACAGATGGCTTTATTGTCTCTCGCTGTCCATGACACGACTGGTATCGATCTATCTGTCTGGTCTCCTACTTGTCTAGCATTTGGCAGTTTAGAATCATCATCACTCATTTTCTGTGGGTGTGTATGTCTCTGCATCCCTCTTGGCTCCTCCAACACAGACTGCTTCACACCTCCCATAAGACACTGCCTGGTTCAAAAAAAGGTGTATGTGTGAGGGTTGACTATAAAATGCGAGCACTTTCCCAAAATAAGTATCGGCACTCGGCTCTTATATAATACTGTAAATATGAGTTCCAAAAAGCATATTTTTAAGTATTTCAAGGTTGTTGGGCCTGCTGTTTATTTTAGAAATGTTTAAAACCATTTAGAAAGGAAAAGTAAATTGACTCACCATGAACCTGCTGATGGCTTACTACTTTAAAGCAATTTGTTTCAGTCAGTCGGGCATTAAGTCTCCTTGATCAAAAGGACTTCTGGATTTCTGCTGCGTGTCATCGTACAGATTTGATGTGGTCACAATTATGGCAATGATGACTTGATAAATTATGAACAGCTGGTGCAATCCGAATAGGATACGGTGTTTATGGTACAAAGGAGCACCTTTTTTTTGTATAAGGGCTTTAATCTGGAGTGGCTTTCATGTTAATTAAAAACCATAATTTGCAAATGATTGAGTTCAAAATTGAAGTTTGTGGACCAACTGTTTTCTCCTTGAGATATTTTTGAAAAAAACATGTTGCACATAGAGCCATTTTCAGCAGCCGCCTGCTGCATGTCTAAGATTGTTTTTGGAGGAGTTCTTTTTTCGCAGACTGTGGCAAATTGTAGGCGTGATGGTTGCAAAGAAAAATGGATGGAAGTGGTTGAAAAATATTTGCTACTTAAACTATTACATGCTTGCAGGATGTGGCTGACATTCTATTTAACAAGGTCTGAGAGAGGTGATCACAAACTGCTTCTGCAAAGTTTGCTTAATGAAAATTATATATATTTTTTTACTTTCTCTGTAATGGACACAGTATGTATCTTATTAGGGGTGCGGAAATGTGGATATATTTCATCTAACATGTTGTTATAATTGGGCATCACCATACAAATCCTTAAAATTTCTAGTCTTAAAATGGATTCTAACAGTCAGTGTCTCAACACATATCCTGATATCTTATAATTTTGATTTTATTTTTAAATATCCATCCATTTCCTTCCTTGACGCTATAACCCTGCTGAGGTCACGAGGAGTGGAGAGGTGGCTACATCCCGGACAGGTCGCCAGTCCATTGCAGGGCAATATGGAGACAAACAGGAAAAACAACCATTCACGCACACACTCACACCTAAGGAGAATTTAGAGAAGCCAATTAACCTAATAGTCATGTTTTTGGACTGTGGGAGGAAGTCAGAGTACCCAGAGAGAACCCACGCATGCTCACGGAGAACATGCAAACTCCTTGCAGAAAGACCCCGGGTCAGGAATTGAACCCGGAACCAACATGCTTGAAGGCAGCAGTGCTACCCACTGCTCCACTGAGCAGACTTATTTTTAAATTATTGTTTTGAATTTGTACAGGTAATGCCATATGTTGAAGTTTATTCAAATCCTTTAATCTTATCAGCAGGTTTGTTCTGCTTAGATCCAAAACAAATTGATTGATGGGACAAAAAAAATTATTATTCTATGTTTTAAATCATGACTTTGTGTGTAACGGTGTGATTGTAAAGGTGTGTTTTGTTTAATTGTTCTCTGCCTGCACTAATTGCTTGTATTTGTAGGGGAAAAGACCAGCAGAAATGAATCATTATGAATTTTATTTTTGTTATTTTGAACTTTTTTCAAGGAAGGTTCTTTTTCTTTCAAAATCCAGTTACTATGGAGTTATCCTTTTTCAAACAGTTGAAGCTTAAGAGTTGCTTCAAGAAACAAATTCTGGACACTGATGTAATCTGCACTGCCCCAGTAAATGACAGAGTTCAAGTGAATTTGGCTTACTGCACCAAGTTTAATTTACCTTAACTGCATTGCTGAAGGGCTGCAGGGTGGCACAGTTTGTAGCACGGTTGCATTGCTGCAAGAAGGTTCTGGGTTTGAATCTTTCTACGTGGACTTTGCATGTCCTCCCAGAGAATGTGTGGGTTCTCTCTGAGTACTCCGGCTTCAGTACAGTCCAAAAACATGACCGTTAGGTTTACTGGCATCT